ATTTTGGAACGGAATACAAACTAAGAGCACCAACGGAAACTGGTGGTTCGAAGATGTATCATCGTTACTTAGCTTCGAAATGTACAAAAGATTCATTAAATCCGTTGAATCTAGAGGCGTGAAACCGGGTATAATAGCAGCATCTGTCACGCATTACGCGAAGCGGAATCTTCCTTTGCTTGGTAGTTCTAGGCAATCTGGTTCTTCAGAGGAAGTGACTAATTATGGTGATGACATTTACTACTCGCATGAAGATCAAAGAGGCCTTCTTGAAGGAATTGTGGAACTACTTCCGAGCGAAAAGTGCGTTACATCGACTAAATTCTTGCTCAGGCTTCTTAGGACATCAATGGTTCTGCACGCGAGTGCGGTCACTCAGGAGAATCTCGAGAGGAAAATTGGTGTGCAGTTAGATGAAGCTGCTCTAGAAGATCTGCTAATACCAAACATGGGATACTCAGCTGAAACACTCTATGATATTGACTCTGTTCAGAGGATTCTTGATCACTTCATGTCGACATTTGATTCTTCTTCGAGTGATTACAATATCGTTGAAGAGAGGCAATTGATGGGAGATTCTCATTCTCTTAGACCTATCACAAAGGTTGCTAGTCTGATAGATGGCTACTTAGCAGAGGTGGCTTCTGATGAGAACTTGAAACTATCGAAATTTCAAGCACTTGGTGCTCTAATCCCCGAAGATGTTAGGCCAATGGATGATGGTATCTACCGTGCAATCGATATATTCATCAAGGTAAAAACATTTTCAATCTATTTATATAACATTTTTACAAAATGTAAAAGCTAACGCCAAATGCACACGGAGTTTCTTCTTCTGTTTGCGTTTGCATTTACAAGTAGCAAATACATGTTTTCTGAAATAATAAAAGGTTAGTGATTTCATTTGCATATAACATGTAGACACAACATCAAATTAATATTATGAATTTCTCTATGCATAATATTGGACAGGCGCATCCATGGCTAACAGAGTCAGAGAGAGAGCAACTATGTCTACTAATGAACTGCCAGAAACTGTCCTTGGAAGCATGCACACACGCAGCACAAAACGAGCGTCTACCATTACGAGTCATAGTACAAGTCTTGTTCTTTGAACAAATGCGGCTTAGGACATCTATAGCAGGATGGTTCTTTGTCTCGGACAACAACAACAATGAAGACCCTATAAGTGGCAAGAATCCGGCATTAGAAGGACACAAGAACAACGCGATTAACCCGAGTATGATGATGAATGGGATGAGAGACCGTGTTTATGAGCTTGAGAAAGAATGTATGAGCATGAAGCAAGATCTTGACAAGCTTGTCAAGACTAAAGAAGGACGTAACTTCTTCTCAAAGTTGTTCGGGTTAAGGTCTAAGACTAAGACTTCACTGTGC